ATTCTATATGATATGACTCTAGTGTTTGACAAATACATTGAAATAATAGCGAGATATGTGTTAATATACGGGACAATGAAAGCACTTATATTGTCATCAATGATATATTGAGACAAAAAACAAGTGAGTCTAATTTCGGTGCAAAAGATATATAAGACTATTCAAAATAATAAGAATAACTGGCTTTCAGTGAGAGCTCACCACAGATTAAATGACAAAATAATTATATCTGAAGTTTATTTTGATAGATAAGCCCATAATTCTTATACAGACTTATAAACAACAGTATTATACGTGGGTGGGTGCTACCCAGATAATATTCTTTAAAATTTACATTATGTATAATTTTATCAAAATATTCTGTAAACACCTCCCCTCCCACCCCCACATGCCTACTAACTTTATAATTAAGAATTATCGTTAAACTATTTCATTTTAATTGTTTAGTTTTTGATAAACCTAGTCTATATTTTCTATTTAATGCAATCAAACATTTGGTTTAAATATATTGTATAAATTACTATAAAATTTGAGAAAATTAAGCATGATAAATGTATGCATAAATTAGTTACGAAAACTCGTGTCAAAAATATGCATTAATTAGAGATACTTTGGATGAGAATAATATCTTTCAATTGATTGCAATGTTTCACAATTAAATGAAATCTTAAATTTGAAAAATATTAACTTTTCAAAACTTTTGTACATTGAGTGCACCACTTGTGGGGACTGGTGGGCCCTCTGGTGAGTGATGTCTAAGTGGTCAACATATAAATGCACAAATTATTTATAAACTACTTTTTAATCAAAAATCAATGTTTAATACAATGACATAAATATATGAAATAGTTTTTAAAACATAAATATTAATATAAAAAGCATTGAATTGAATGGAAAATCAAAAACATATCGTTTGTCACTCAAACTGCACTCAAAAGCGGCGCTCAAACCACGTGTTTGTCATCGGTTTCCATAGAAACGCATGTTTTTCGCAAACAATTTGTTTTGTGTTTTGTGTGACAAATGAAATGCAAAACAAGGCTTTGATTTGGCGTTCAATCCATTCATTCACTTCTCACTCAAAATAATCGTTTAAATCGTCTTTTAGGTGACCATCAGATCCGTTGACCACTATATCTGTCGCCCATGTCTTCGGCCAACACGTCCACCACCGCTGACACCGCGACCGCCACTACAGCGACAGTCGTGTCCATCACAGACACCATCACCTCCTCGCCCACCCCTACCATCGCCACCACTGATGACAAGACACCCGCCGACCAGACATCGACACCATCGGCCGTGACTACCGGTGCCGACAGTGACTACAACTACGCGGTGGAGGAACGGGTGCTTTGCTTTCACGGGCCGCTCATCTATGAGTCGAAGTGTCTGAAGAGGCGCCGACACCCGGAGGACAGTCGGTGTCAGTATTTCATCCATTATAACGGATGGAACAAGAATTGGGACGAATGGGTGGATGAGCACCGGGTCATGAAACTCAACGACCAGAATAGGCTCAGACAGCAGGAGCTAAAGGCCGCCCATAAGCCGACGCCCGGCGGAGGTGGGATGTCCGGTGGCGCCAAGAAACGGAAGTCTGGCGCTAATATCGACGGCAGTAATGGTGTCAATGAGTCTACCGGTGCCGCTGGTGGTGGCGGTGGCGGTGGTAAGCGCTCGAAGTCGACAACAGATGCCAAGAATGGTATGAATGCCAGTGTTTTGAGTGTTTGTGTTGTAATAGTCTTGCGGTGTGTCTGAAGGCAAGGATCAGACGAACGGCGAGTCGTCGGCGACGGAGACGACGGACGGGAAGACGCCGAGCGCTAAGAAGAAGAGACGCCATTCGGTGCCGGCGTTCGTCGAGACGGAGGAGGCGTTTACCACAAAACCGGAGATTAAGATCAAAATACCGGATGAGCTGAAGCCGTGTCTGGTGGACGACTGGGACCTCATTACCCGTCAGCAGCAGCTCTTCGAACTGCCGGCGAAGATATCGGTCGACACTATACTCGACGACTACACCAAACAAAAGATGGCCTCAAAGTTGACGCCTCTGAAGGAGAGTCAGGCGCTGGAAGTGGTGAACGGCGTCCGCGACTACTTCAACACAATGCTCGGCTCGCAGTTGTTGTACCGCTTCGAGCGGATCCAATACCAGGAGCTCTTGGCCGACAACAAACACAAGGGTCGCAAACTGTCGGCCGTTTACGGCGCCATCCATTTGTTGCGTTTGTTCACCAAATTTGGGCACTTCTTGGCCTTCACCTCATTGGACGAGAAGACTATTCAACTGCTGCTGACACACGTCCACGACTTCCTCAAGTATTTGTCCAACAATTCTATGCTATTCAGTGCTAACGACTACTCGACCGCTTCTCCCGAATACGTCCGGATGACCATGTCTTAGGTCTTAAGACTATGAGTACTATAGATAGGGATTAATGGCGACCAATGATTGGCCAATAACTGTCTTTAATGGTATTAAATCCGTAAATCTATTATTCAGTGGTTTTTGTAGAATATTCTGTGTTTTAAGTATTGACACAAAATTGTTGAGTTTAAGTGATAATTGTTAACTTTTGTGACACTTTTGTTAATTGAATCTTAGATTTATTTAATGAAAACTACAGAATATTGTTAAAAGTTTTTTTATTTAATCCTTAGTTTAACGCATTATTTAGTTTGGATTTATGAATACAGAAAGCAGTTGTTTGCCAGCTTTTGGTCGTTTATTAAGCGACTAATTAAATAGATTTTATGAAATTTTCATTTGTATTTTCAATTCATTAGATTTTTTAATATACCATAACATGTGATAAACTCTGTACATTATTTTTACCATAATTCTTAAGTCATTTTATTATAACACTTTCAC